ATGTGGAGTGGCCCTTCCTTTGTGTGGTTCAACACTGAACCTCAGTGTACCACCATGTGTCTGTTGGCTGCAGGTGTGGTGCTGTGCCCCTCGGCCTGGAGGTGGCTCTGACTAACCACTGCATTCCAGTCCTGACAGATGAACAGAAATCCAGGATCCAGGCGATGAAGCCAATGACAAAGGAAGAATGGGATGCGAGGCAGAGTGTCATCAGGAGAGTGGTGGATCCTGAAACAGGGAGGACCAGGTATGATTCCTGGGGAAAAGGGAGCTGGGTTTTCTGTTCCCATCCATGCTGGAAATCCTGGAGGATGGCTGTCCATGGCACTGCAGTTAGCAGTGGACTCAGGTCCCTTCAGCAGCAAAGGCCTGAGCTGACTCCTCACAGGTCCCTCCTGTCACACCTGGTGTAACTTACCCACAAATTTACACAATGACACCAAATTACTGAACTGTGCTGAGGCTCTACACGGGGGACAGCAAGGTGTGTCCCAGTGCTGCATCCACTTACCTTTCAGGTCTGAAGCATTGGGCCCTGGTTAGTGCCTGGGTGCAAGTGAGGAGAGAGTGTGTCCCCCTTGGAGTTACAGTCACCAATCAAACTGAAGTTCATTTAGCTGCCAAATAGAAATGACCCAGTTTCTAATAAACTGCGTCTTCTCAGCAAGCAGAAAACATCATGCTGAAGAGAATTGGGTATGACAAGTCCAGTCTTAAAATAGCAGGCAGCCTGCAGGGCTCAGGGAGGTGTGGAACAAAGGTCAGTTCCCTGTAAGGCATGTAATGAAGACAATTAAATTTCTGCTCATGTTTGGAGGTGTGAGCTGCCTCTGACACTGCTCAGAATTTGCTCAGCAAGATGCTCCCTGGCCTGGCTGCCTTTCATACCCAAACTGGCTCTTGTTCCTGAATGGCTCTGTGGTTTCCTGGGACAGCTAGGACCACACCTCAACTCTGGGGGAAAAAAAATGAAGAGGTTGTGCAGGGGTTGGGGCACTGCTGTTGACAGTGAAGCCTGCACATTTTGGGATAGCAGGAGATGCATTTATTTCAAGTGTTTTTTCCTGCCATGTGCCAGTGTGACTGACTGCACACAGCAGACTGTGCCCACAGCCTGGGGCAGAGCCAGCTGGCCCATGCTGATTTCTCAGGGGACCACAACTGTCCTTGCTGCAGTGCAGTGACATTAATCCCATGGGAGCAGTGGAAAAGCCTGTCCTGCTATCTAAACTTGATACAGCCAAAAAAAAAAAAATCACATAATGCAATGTCAGGGGTAGGTCATCACTGGCTTTGCCTAGAGATGCCTCAACCCAGCACCTGGTCCTGTGCTGTGAGGGAGCTGGGGCACAACAGCAGCCCTTGGGGTGGGGGTCAGCACCTTCTGCAGCTGCTGGAACTTGCCAGTAGCTCTTATGGCTCTTGGGGCTGTGCTTGTCTTCCAGGCTCATTAAGGGAGATGGAGAAGTCCTAGAAGAAATCGTCAGCAAGGAGAGACACAAGGAGATTAACAAGGTAGTGAGAACTGTCTTACAGCATGAGCTGCTGAGGGGTGGCTGGGCACAGCCAAGGAGCTGCTGACCCAGAGGTGTTTTCACCTGGGGACAAACTGAGCCCTGGCAGCTCTGCAGGGACCCCCGTGGGGGGTGCTGGTGGTCCTTCACCCTTGGGCAGGTGATGCTGTGAGCACCTGTGTTCTCTCCCTTTGCAGCAAGCCACCAGAGGGGATGGACTGGCCTTCCAGGTGAGGACAGGGATGCTGCAGTGAGTGTGCAGACACCAGCCATGGCAGGAGCCTGTCCTGCTGCCAGTGCCAGCCCAGGTGTGAGCCTCTGTCTCTGGACCATGTAGACAGCACCGTGTCGTGAAAGTTCCCTGAGGCACTTTTCCAGCCACTCTGTAAGTTACTGACTGGGAAGGAGAGTGACTTTAGTGGTTCATTTCCCAGTAAACAGCTCCTCCCTTCCCTCTCCCACATGTGGCTGTAACACACCTGAGTCCTCCATGCCACGATGCACCTTTGGAGGCTGGAGGAGCTCAGCAATACTCACGGGTCAAGGCTTACTAGTGCTGAGCTGCCCTCAGCTCTGGGCTTTGGTGGGCAGGAGCCAAGCTGTGGCCAGGACAGGGTATGTACAGGACCACAAAATACACAGCTTGCTGCCACTTTTTCCCTTCAGGGGCTGCTCGTGGCCCTTTCCTAGCTGGATCTCTCACACACCCTTGGCACTCCCCACTCTGCTCAGAGAGGAGTGGCTGTTCCCCTGTGTGGCTCTGCTTAGGCTGCAGCTATCCTCTGCACCCCCTAAGTACCACCCTCCACTGTGCCCCAGGGCTTTTCTCAGCCTCTCTGCAGCTTCACCTCCTTGGGTGGCACTGGGGAGCACTGACCTGGCATGCTGCACTGGGATCTGTGCAGGTGTGCTTGGTGGAGGGGTGGCATTGCCTTGCTGTCTGCTCCTGCATGCAACTCGTGTCCCTTCCCTGCAGCACAGGCCCTGGGCAGTGTTAGGACTCTGAGCTTCTCAGTGCTCTGAAGCAAACAGTTGGCTTTTCCCTTGCTGCAAAGTCCACAAATCTACAAACTGTAAGAAACAAAAAAAAAGGACAAGTGGGTTAAAGGACAAATGGGTCCTGCAGGACTGATCTGTGTGGAAAGTTTCCACGTTCTGTTCCCCTCTGTAACCCCATTAAACTGGCACCTGCTCACGGCTTGGGTGTTGTGACTTGTCTGTCGAGTCTCCCCAAAAAAGCAGACAGAGAAGAGCCTTCCCATTTCTTTAATCTGTGTAACTCACAATGATAACTGTACACAAAGCACACCAGGCATTGGAACGATGCACTAACAGCAAGGAGGAGAAGGAAGTTGTACAGAAGGTTTGCCACACACAAGCGAATCGTCGGTACTGTACACACAGGGGTGTGCCCGGCGCCCTCGGTGGTTCCCCACACACAGCTGGGACCCCTAAAGCAATTTTTTTTTATAAATAAAATAGAACTAACATCCTTGGAATATAAAATTGACAGTCGGGGGGGGATCAACAGGCAGAGGGAGGGGACTGTAAGGCTTCTAGAACTAAGAGGAAATGCAGCAAACAGTGGCGATACCTGAAGAAGGGGCTGCTACAGCAAGCACAGTGGCTGCTGGGAGGGTCAGGGGGGTGTTAGTAACCCTTTGGCTAGTTCCTGCTCTCAGCTCGTGGATCAGACACTGTAAACGTCTTTTTTGGTATTAGAATTTCGTCTCATCTGACTGAGTGATCTGAGCAAACCCTGGAAAAGAGCTCGGGGGCTCCTCTGATGGGGTCCAAAAGACTTTAAAGGGACAGCGTCAGGTAGGAGGTCTGGCCCAAGAGTGCAGTAATATAAAAAGCTGCTTTTTATAAAATAAAAAAAAAAAATAATCTGAGCTCTGCAGCAGAGTTTGATTCCCATGGAAACAAAAAAAAAAAAAACCCCACCCCAAAGCCTGAGGCTGTATTGTGCTAGTGTGCAGAGCAGGACGTGGGCTGCAGCAGCTGCTGCCGGGCACACCGAGGGCTGCCCAGGCAACAGCCACAGGGAGGAGTACAAGAAACTTCATTTCAAAGCAAACAAGTTATTCCCAACAAAGAGAAATGAGGTGTTTAACCTGACAGTGCCCCTTTAGTAAGGATGGGATCTACGTTCATCTTTCCCTCACCACATCCCAACGGATCCTCTTCCAGACGCGTTGGAAAGGCATCAGGTCACACATTGCTCTCCAGAACAGGTGGGAACAAACAGGTTAGAAACACAGAGTTAAACTATTGCTATTGTTCTGTGAGTGAGTAGCACGTTGAGTTTTGCCTCGGAGAGATGAGTGCCAGATGGGGGCGGCTGAGGACAGAGCGATGGAGACTGGGATGGACTGAATCAGTGAAGAAAAACTCAGGTGTATTTCCTGGTAACTACACCCACCTCCTCCTCTGGGATTATTGCAGCAATAAAGGTCCTGCTCTACAATTGCTTCTCCGTGTTGGATCCATACAATGGCAACGGTTGGGGCCAGGGAAAGACCTGGGCAAGGTTCAAGAAGCTCAACAAAGGATGAGGATGGAGGTGCTATGATTGTCAGGCTAACTGGTTAGTAGCTGTTTAAAACATGAAGTGATGGAGAGGTGAGTATCATATTGCACTTCTGCATTAATTGACAGTTACATTAAACTTGGTCCATAAAATAATTGCTTTGTACATAATGCCTGAAACAAAAAGCTACATTTTTAAATATTAATAAACCCTGAAGGTTTCAGTCCCTCCAGACAAAAATTTTTTTCCCCTCTACATAAATAAATAACTTTCAATTTTATATATCCACTTTTTATGTTGAACATTTACATTCGCCTCTGTTTTACACTATCTACACATAAGAAAATGTGAACATCTCATCAACACTAGGGAAAATGTACAGATCATGCCTTGGTTGTGGACTTGGAGGAAAGGTGAATTTTGCAAAGGCCATATCCAAATTTGCAGAAATTCTTTAGGGATGTGGTTTGGTGACTTTCACAGGATGGATTGTGGCTTGGCTTCCTACTCAGATGGCATCTGTTGGATAGAACATTCGACTAAGCAAAAAAAAAACCAACCCAAAAGCTGGGACAATTCACATTGTTGTCAAACCTAGTCAACTCTGGATGTACATTCAGAGAGAGCCAAGCTGAGTCAGCAGAAAGGGAAGTCAGTTTTCGGTAAGAAAAGTCATCAGGTACATTCTGTAATTGGCTAATTATCAAAGAGAAGTGGTTAAACACTTTGCAGTCAGGCTGGGAGACGCACTGGGTGGGTGGGTTCGATGGCAGCTCAGCACTGTCCCTCCTCTGCCTCCACTTCCACCCTCCAAGGTGTGAGATCCACCTCGGGAGGAGTGAGATTTGCCTCCCGTGGCCCAGAGCCAGCGAGCAGAGCAGCGTTCACAGTGCTGTGTATCTCAGTGCGGCCGTCCCGCGCTTCTTATTGAAACACGTACGAAAAACCAAGCAGCCAGTCTAAAAAAATTCTCTGTTAGAAAGAAGATCCTCAGAAGTAGAAAGTGATACAAAGACAGCGTGGTGGGGAGAGCGAGGTTACGCGCCGTTGGGGAGCTCGGGAGGACTAGAAAAATCTCCACGTGAAGAGGCTGTAAATGGGCACCAGGGAACCCCCCGGTGCGGGTGCCCCTCTGCCCCAGGAGGTGTGTGCAAGGAGGGAACCTTCCCTGGCCCCAAGAGGGGCAGGACTAAGGGGCTTTTTGGCAAGCCCTTGCTCTAGGCACTGTTCTCCTCCATCCCTGCCCCGTGCAGGTGCCATCCCGCGGCGAGCGCTTCGCCCCGTGCACGGCACTCCCTGTGCCACGTGCCCACCCAGCTCCCTCCAGCAGCTCCCAAACCCTCAGCTCAGGCACATCCACTGAGAAACACACCAGGAAAATGAAGATATGGCCTTTTCTTAAGGTTGCCTGACATTGTTGGCACACTTCCTTACAGTCTCCTTACTGCTGGAAAAAAAACCTTCTGCACAGTTTTAAATATATACATATATATATACATGTGTGTGTGTGTGGATATATGTATAGATACACACACACCCTGGCTTAGCAATATTTCATTGTCATGCACTACAAACACTGAGGTGTAGCTACATGAGATGGTAACAGGTTTCCATTCTAAAAATCGTCAGTGCAAAAAACAATGAGGTTTTGACAGTTCAGTAACTACAGGTAAAAGAAGCGAGTCTAGTTCCCATGAAAGCTGCTACTGAACTTGGAGAGAACCTGGGAAGAAGAAAACATCTCGGAGGTGGGTGTTGAGAGAGTCAGACCCTGCATTTGGATGAGAACTGCAATGCAATCTAGCTGCTGAGTGCCTTCAGCTGCTTCCAAATATGTGGTGGTTACTGTTGGAAATAATACATAGTGAGACTATCTGGAGACTTTAACAGCAAATTAAAGTGTCTGAGGTTTGTAACAGCTCAAACAAAATAGCTTGTATTCCTCTTTTAATAGGTCAACACATGAAATTCCATCGGCTTCTAAAAGGTCTCTTTAAAAAATAACAGTAATAACAATAACGACAGGAATTGCAGTGATAGGACGAGGGTAATGGGTTCAAATAGAAGGAAGGAAAGTTTAGGTTAGATCTTAGAAAAAAGTTTTTTCCTGTAAGAGTGGTGCAAACAAAATAGCTTGTATTCCTCTTTTAATAGGTCAACACATGAAATTCCATCGGCTTCTAAAAGGTCTCTTTAAAAAATAACAGTAATAACAATAACGACAGGAATTGCAGTGATAGGACGAGGGTAATGGGTTCAAATAGAAGGAAGGAAAGTTTAGGTTAGATCTTAGAAAAAAGTTTTTTCCTGTAAGAGTGGTGAGACACTGGCACAGGTTAGGTTGCCCCCTCTGTCCTGGGCATGATTCTGCCAACATTCTGCCTCTACCAACAGCATCGATGCAGCTTTAGCTTTGCCACTGCACAAACTCCTCGAGGACATGGCTGCACTTGAAGCTCTTTGTACAGGTAAAGCTCTTGGTGGCTCTGCCTGGCACAGCCCACGATAAATCCCTCACTCAGGGCTGTCTGTGCCAGGGAAACCGTGTGTTACCAATCCCCAACCCACCCAGCACCGCAGAGCACCTCAGTCTGACTCCTGGGACAGCCAAGAGCAAGTCTGCCCAGCTCATCCCTGTTCCTGTGGCTCTGAGGACAGCACTCGGTCACGCGTGTCGGAGCGATGGCTAACGAGGCGAGGAGGCACATATTTACAGTCACTAAACCTGGATAAGAGAAGGAGGCAGGAGAGAGCGTGATCTTGATCTTGGAGACTCTTCCCTCCCCGATTTCCAGCTGTTCCTTGGGCTCCTGCTGCACAAACCCGACGCTCTCGCCGCAAGGCCTGCGCGTTCTGCGTGGGACACGTCCCATCTCTTCCCAGAACACCGTGATGTTGTTAGAGTAGCACCATATTGACCCTTCCAGCCCGAAACGCCGGCCTCGTCCCTCTTTCCTTTTGTTTTCTTCTCCTCTGGTGGCTGCAGCTGACAATCCTGGCTCTGGCTATTTCTGCCCCAAGAGGCCAGACTCCAGCCGGGACGCCGCACTCCGGCCCCAGCACCCCGTGGCGATGCTCATGCTTCTTTGGCTGCGCTCCCTCTCCCTGTCCTTGTCGCTGTCAGACTGGCTCTGCGTGCGCTCGGGCCGGTAGCTGGTGCCGCTGGCTGAAGGTTGGGAGGAAATGGTTCGCAGCAGGTGGTTCCTCTTGCGCAGGAACTCGGTCTGGCTGGGCAGCCCAAAGCTGCCCTTGCGCAGCGCCATGCGCGTGGTGTTCTTGGCGGGGCGCGCGCGGTGGTTGTACTCCAGCTGGGCCAGGTGGGCTGCGTAACCCTCCGTGATGAACTGTGGGAGGAGAGGGGATGAGGGTGGTTAGAGGGGTGGGACAGGTTTTCCCTGAGAGCCCCTGGGAGCTAAATATGTTCGCTGTGCCAGGTTGGCTGGGTTGACAAGCCATGGCACCACTTAGAATGATGAGGGTGGTTAGAGAGGTGGGACAGGTTTTCCCTGAGAGCCCCACGTAGCTAAATAAGTTTGCTGTGCCAGGTTGGCTGGGTTGACAAGCCATGGCACCGCTTAGAATGATGCATATGGTCCTGCTCCATGGGACAGTTCCTATCTTCCTGGCCACAGCATAATCATCAGTCTTGAGATGATCAAATTCCCATCTCCCTCCCATGGGAAGCTCTTGGCAGCACCTCCAAGGCTCCTACCTGACACTGGCTCTGCAGCTTCTTGGTGGGTCGGCCGACGATGTAAATGTGTGTGGGTGGGAGGCTGATGGAGCTGTACACAGAGATGTCCTTAGTGGATCCGTACGCCGCGTGGATCCTCATGTGGAGCTGTGGGACAGAGAAAGCAACACACAGTCAGAACACATGGGTGCCCCTTGCTGCTCAACAGGCAGAGCTCTGGATTTCCCAATGGCATTTGTGGGAATCTCAGGTCACTGGAGCTTATGTAAGCTCCCAGCTGGATACTGAACCACCAAGTGAAGTGCTAATTAACTGGGGATGTTAACAGGCCAGAACAAGAGGAGTAACAGCAATACAAGAGCAGATCTCCACTTGCTGATCCACAGCCTTCCCTTGAGGTCTGCAGGGGGCAAGGATGCCACACACTTCCCTGCCTGCTGCCACTGGGGGAGAGGAGCTGCAACTCCCTGTGCAAGAATCATTAGCCAGGAGTATTCCCCTCTGCCAGCTGCGTGCAGCACTGCTGGTACCAGCTGGGCAGAGGGAGAAGGGACAGGCAGCAAAACATGCTGCTTTTCAGGGATACATCTGCCTCCACTCCAAGCAAAGAGCAGCTCTCAGACAGCCCTTTCCTCAGGGGGCTGGTGCTGTGGCTGGCAGGGGGGGTGAGCCCACTGGTGCCACCACAGCCTGGCTGGCTTTGTCCCCACAGCTGCAGGTCAGGGCAATGGAAAGGGATTTTCTGACCTTGGTCCCTAACTTGTTCTTCTGGAGGACAAGGGAACAAGTGAGGACCAGCTGGTTCTGCAACTCAGGACAAAACAAGAGCCCAGGAGAGTTAAGGAAAGGCTTTCCCTGCTAATCTAGGCAGGGCAACTCAGGACACTGTCAGCTCCTTCACTTGTCAGACACAGAAAACTTTGTTTCAGCTGGAGCTTCTCTAAGACTCTGAGCTGAGCCATGTTAAGACCTCCCAGGGGTCAAGTGCTTGGAAGATGTTCTGTCAAGGTTATGTGGTTCAAGGCCATTTCTGCAGCAGCTCCATCCCCTCTCGGCCCTGCTGGCTGCTCCATGGGCAAGCAGAAAACCACCAAACGTGACAAAAAGTGCATGTGTGGGAAAGAGAAGCTCTGCTGGCTCTGTTCCATTAGGTGTTTGGTGCTGGGGGAAACAGTGATGAGATGGAGCAGTGCAGAGCAGAGACAACACGATTTAACAGCATAGACACTTCTGTAGAGCGACAAAAGGATGAAAATAAAATGGACAGATTAATCTTCCACTGCAGGTCACATTGCTGCCAAGAGTCTGGCGCTGACAGGGGCAATTGGATGAGGAGCAATCTAAACCTGTGCTATGATCATATTTCAGCAGACTCAGGCTTACATCCGTGATGAGGGACTTGAGGAAGTTGGCCTTGTGCCGCAGAGGGTCGTGAACGAGCCCATCGCAGAAGGAGACGATCCCGTGGGGGAAGTTGTGCTGTGCTAACCATGCCACCACCCTCTGCTTCTGCATGTCAGGGCGGCCTGTGACATAGATAATGAGGTAGCCGAGGTCTTGCCAGTGCCTAGAAGGAAAGTCATGAGTCAATGGATTGTAGATCAAGAGCAATGCCAGTGTCAAACATCAACTGCCCTGAATATGTGGAAGAACTTTCCTGTGCAGTCACTGAGCACTGAACAGATTGCCCAGAAAGGTTGTGGATTCTCCCTCACTGGATGTACTCAAGAACCATCTGGATACAATCCTGAGCCACAGGCTCTAGGATGGCCCTGCTCAAGTAGGGAGGTTGGAGCAGATGACCCACTGTGGTCCCTCCCAACCTAAGCGATGCTGTGGTTCTGACCTTACAACGTCCACCGCTCCGGCGCGGACTTTGGGGTCGCTGCCCATGATGGACACGCTGGCGGCGAAGGAGCCGTCGATGCTGAACACCACGAACTCCGTCCCCTTCGGCAGGACCGTGATGTAGCTGTCTGCATACGTGTGGTCACCCCTGATGGAAGGGATGAAGGTACTTAGAGGCATTGAGATATTCAGACAACATCAACTGAGCTCTGCAGAAGCACCATGACCTCAAAGCAACACCCAAATCTGGCCCAAAGGCTCCAACAGTGATGCCATCCCCAGTCACAGCAGTGATGGGCATTGCATGAAGGTCTCTGTGTAAAGTAGGGATGGAATAGTACTCTGGAGCCCTGGCAACAGTGACTCAAAAAAGCATCCCCAGAAAACCACTGCTAGATTCACCCCAGAGAAGATGCTCCCCTCCTCCACCTTCCAGAGCTCAACATCAGCAACTGGAGCTGAGCTGGGGCCCCTGAGCTGTGAATCATCATGAGAACAAAGTTCTGTCCCTCAAGGACAAGTTTACAGTCTTTAAAATATGCTCAGCTGTGCAGTTTTGGAGATGACCGTGAGGCCATACCCTGTGGAGCACAAGACCTGCTCCTGCAGCAGGAGCTCAATTCCCATGCTGGTGGTGATGCATGAGCCAGAATAAAACATGGATCTTCCTCTTACCGTTGCAGAGGACAAATAGCTTTGTCCCTGTTGCTGGTAAACCAGGCTCTGAACCCACCCAACAACAGAGATGCCCCACAAGGAGGGGCCACGTTCTGCAGTCATCAAATTGCTCTTGTGTTGCTCCTGCAGCCCCCGAGGTAGCTCACCTGACCACCATCTTGACGGGGTAGACGCCGATGCCCAGGCGCCGGTTCTCGGGGATGACGTAGGAAATTCTGCCACTGCTGTTGCTGATCTCTGTGTCAAAGTAAACCCACTCTCCTGATGGTGGTTGGGTCATGATGTGAATGTCCACCTGGGAGGACAGCAAGGCTGAGTCACCCACAGCATTAAAGACACAGAGTGGAACAGGCTGAGCACAGGGACCTTCTAGCTGAGCCCTTTGGGCTGGGTCCTGCTCTCACCCTCTGCACTGCATGGATGTGAGCAGAGAAGCACCCAAAAATCAGGGTGCTGGAGTGAAACCTGGCCCTGATGGTGAAGGTGAATGCTGTTCCTAGTGGGAGGCACTCACAAATCTGAGCAGGGGAACGTGGCCAAGATGCAAGGGCAGCAAACTCTGTCAGGGACCAAAGAGGCACCAACCAGCACTGCCTCTGTCCCTGTCCCCTCTTCTCAGCATGTGGTGCACAACCCTCACAGCACACAACAGTACCTTTTCTCCTGTGAGGGTGACCATGTCTAATGGACCATACATAAACCTCCCAGTTAGGGTCTGAGGCCCATCTTCGTTAGCAATGGTGTCGTTTATCCTGTGGTTGGCTGTGACGTTCTGCATGAGGCAAGAAGGAAAGTAAGAAAAAAAGGTTGCAGCAATGGAGAGCCTCACAGGGAAATGCCAAATATAACTGGACAAACTAGAGCATGGGTTTCTCTGTGCCATTCCCCTCCTCCACTCCACCCTCAGCTCTGGGAAAGAACGTGACCTGTGGCAGAGGTGAGGCTCTGTGCCCTGCTCTGGTGGGTGGGTTGGAGCACACATGGCTGGAGAGCCAATTTCAGTGCTAAGTTGTACAAGTCATTCTGATACTGTCTATTAACTCTCACAGTTTGGAACTAAGAGGAAATCCAAACAGCTGCCAGAGAAATCTGCTGACACCAGTTCAGTTCTAGCACAGAAGTGGATTGGAGTGCACATGGCTGGAGAGCCAATTTCCATGGCAGGTTGTACGAGCAGCTCTATACTGTCTATTAACTCTTACACTTTGAAATTGAAAGGAAACACAAACAGTTGCCAGACAAATCTGCTGACACTGGTTCAGTTCGAGCACAGAATTGCCTTCTTTCAGGAACTACAGACTTTACTGGGAGCAAAGGGCATTTACTGAGCAGACAACTGGTGTTACTGAACTTTGAAAGACAATCTGTTCTGGCTCTCCTGACCCACAGTCAATGTTTCCTGTGTTTTACAGACTCAAGGCCAAGAGGAGACCTTGCAAATACAGATTTTTGAGTTGCTTTTTCACACCTACACAGGTAGGACATAGTCATTGACCCAGACCAGCAATGCAACGTGACCCTCTGTCCATGCCATGCCCAGGCTGGCTGCCCCCAGAGCAGTTTGTGCAGCCCAAATCAACCCATGACAACACTCTCTGAGGCAGCTCAAAAAACCTCCTTACCCGGAGCTTCACGTGTGTCCTCTTGCGGAGCCACTTCTCACGGGGCTTGGAGGGGGTGAAGACAGACACCTCCTTCCCATCCAGCTCCAAAACACTTGAGTTCTCATGTCTCATCACCTGTGGGAGGACAGATCCCAATGAGACATTTTAGACATTGGAATGTGCTGCCCAGGGAAGTGGTGGAGTCACCATCCCTGGAGGTGTTTAAGGAGAGACTGGACGTGGCATTTAGGGCCATGGTCTAGTTGACATGGTGGTGTTAGGTCATAGGTTGGACTTGATGATCTTAGAGGTCTTTTCCAACCTAAATGATTCTGTGTGATTCTGAGACATCAGCCACTTGCACAGTGACCCCCCTGCCCTGCCCATGCTGTCCCACCTCTCCTGGGCCAGTGCTGAGGAAGGGCAATACCTGCAGAGAGGCCCCTGGGTTTGCTGCTGGGTATTTGGCTTGTCAGCTTGCAGGTTTTACAGGATGAGTGGCCTCTTCTGAACTAGCAAATCCTGTGGCCAGCACTGACTTAATCCTGGCTGGGACAGGTTTTTTTAATTGTCAGCAGGTACAAAACTCACTCACAGGTTTTTTAAATTGTCAGCAGGTACAAAACTCACTCAAAACATTCCAGACTGCTCTTGTCCTACTGCTTTTGCTCCTCTCATTGGTTTGACCCCAGTAGAGGCACACAGACATCCAGCTTGGCCAATGTGAGGCAGAGCCCAGGCTGTCTGTCCATCCTGACCTTGTCTCTGAGGCTGACAGAGCTCTAGGACTTGGTGCTGGTGCAATGTCACTGCAGCAGCACAAGGATCAGAGAGGGAGCAAGGTGATGCTCTCCAGCCAGCTCCTGGGGGCAATTCCTGCCTGTCCCCAGGACACAGGCAGGGATGGGAAGCAGGAACTTGGAGAGAGGAGAGTTAGATCCTACCTAGGTTGCTCTTAAGCTCTAAGAAGGGAAAAGGCACACCCAAAGGTGAGGAGACACCTCAAAGATTGCCACAGGACCGAGATGTGACTCTGCACAAAGAGCTCAAATTTGCAATAATCCTTAGCGACTGAAAAATTAAGAGGCCTCTTAAATGTGGGCACTTTCACAAGGCCTTGAACATGTTTTGTGGGGTCAGCAGCTCTCCAGCTGAGCTGGGCTGTAATGGTCTGCCATGGGCCAGCTCACTTTGCAGAGCTGAAGTTGGTTTTCATCCAGGGAAATAGAAAAAGGACCCCAGGGAGGATGAGCTTGCTGGGGAGAGAGTTCATGGAAATCCAATGTAAACAAAATAATGAGTTTTACTGAACATTATTTAAATCAGGAAACTATTTTGAGCCCTATTTGGGCTTGTTTTAACAAGATTTAATCTTTGAAGGCTGAAAACTGTTCAACAGCTTCTTTTTTACATTTTGCCCAGAGATGACTTTGAAGGCCATCAGAAACAAGTCCTTATTAGGGGAAGCTGTGGTGTGGTGCTTGGGAAGGACAGGGAAAAGACAGGGAATGAGAAAAACCCTGGTCTTGAAGCAGAGATTAATGAGCAGAGACACTGGGAAAAGGGGTGCCAGGCTTAGAATGGATGGAGATGTACCTCCAGGTACTCAAGCCACAAGATTTGAAGCACCACACAGTGCTACAGACCCAGGTCTGAGCTGAATTCTGAGTAACTTGGGTGGAGCATTTTGTGTATGAGACTGTCATGAGTTTTCCCACTCACACACAATTACAGTGCTCTCCTTTTCAGCCCTGTTAGGCTGAGTTTGATGTGGCACCATTCAGCAAGGTGTGTGTGAGCACAGAGATGTCTCACTGGGCTGGATACAGCCTGGAAAGAAAGGGTCTCACTGGATTATTGCTACTGCTCAGCTGCCACCAGCACTGACATCTCTGTTGTTTATGGTTCTTACATTATTTGGAAGATAACATTGAAAGAAAGTTTGCCAACAGAATCATAAAAAATTGAGAACTGCAGTAGAGGAGGCTGGAAGAGAGCAGGGAGGGTTTAGCAGCTGAACTAACACAATGCAAACCCAGCACTGAAGTGGGGAACACAATCCACAGAGTTGCTTTGAGTTTTGTTTTTTCCAAGTCTGTGCTCTAAGTATCGTTCCCTGGGGTGTTCTTACTTCGTAAGGCAAATAACTCCCCCTCATCCCCAAGGAACTGAAGGGAAAAATATTTCTTTTAGGAATAAAACCCACATTTTAACCAGTAAATTTGAATCTCAGGCCAAATGTAGGTTGATAAACTCTGAGGTGTCAGACTCCAGACACCAGCAATCCCCACTTTCCTGGCCCCAGAACTGCTTAGTGCTGCAGGAACGAGGGCTAAATCCCAATGAGCTCCTACAGGAGACCATGATAATTTAGCAAGGCAAAACAGAGAGCTGAATTTTGCCTACCAACTGTTGTCAAATTCATACAAAACTTCTCCTTTGGTTTTACTGTATTTGGTGCTATTTCTGTTAGCATATCCAGAAGTTTCCTTTAAGTTTCAGTCTTGAAATCCAAACTGGCACACACAGAGAACAGACCACAGAATTAGTTAGGCTGGAAGGGACCACAGTGGGTCATCTGGTCCAACCTCCCCACTCAAGCAGGGCCAGCCCAGAGCACATGAGGAACTTGATCACTCAAGAAACAAGTGCCACTGTGATCTGACAGGAATGGCCCTGGGCTCTCTCCATGGATCCCTGGTGAGCCCATCTGAAACCTGCCCTGATGATAAACCCAGACCCAAACCAACCACGTGTGACAGCACATGTCTGTGAAGTTTGCATGGGTGCAGCTCCACTAACAGCACAGGTGAGGAACAAAAAGAAGGAGAAGAAAATGGATCTGTGGGGACAAAGGGTATCTTTTCATCTCAACGCATCAACAAGCGTTATGGAAAAAAACAGTGGAACAAGCAAAGATTCCAAAACATTTTCCAGCCCAGGGGAGATCAGGGAGGAAGGATGACCTTACCTGTCTCAGCAGAAAAATCCCAGTAGCTTGCATGGAAGAGGTGTGGCAGAGCCACTGTCGGGAAAGCCGTCAGGGCGTCGGGGCAGTACAGGGCGTAGTCGATCCGTTTGGTTCCCCACCACTTGGCAGCAACTAGAAGCAAAAGACTCATTCAAACAAAGGGGATTCACATGCATGTGCTGTCTCCATCACAAATGGAACCTCAGGGCTCTGGCTCCTCACTCCAGGTATGGCAGACACTGCTCCCTGGCTGGCTGCACTGCTAAGAGGGAACAACTGCCCCATGGCTCGGTGCGTGCTCAAACCAGGGGATGAACACACACACAGGCACCAGTGTGTGAGCTCTCCTTTATTTAAGGAATGGAAGGCACTGCTGGGAAGGTATTAATTGGCCAAGGGGTCCAAGGTTTGTGTGCAATGAGTCTGGGAATCCACGTGCCAAAGCATAAGGCAGAAACACATCTCCCTGGAGCTGTGGGAGGAAGGATGTGTGTGTTCTGCCCAGGCCATCTCTGGCCCTGCTTCCAGCTCTTCTAGTTTCACCAAGGAATAGCATCCAGGCATTGGCCACACTAAAGAGGATCTGAATACTGGGAATCCACGTGAGATGCTCAAAGGCACCACAAGGCACAGGGTGTACGGCACACGCTGAAGTCACCAACTCGCACACAAGTGTCCAACAGCTGCTGTTCACCCATGGGACATTCCCACAGCTCAGTGCTGCCCTGAACTCTGCCCACACATGTCCAACTCCCTGGCAATGAGCAGGTCTCAGCCCAAAGCCTCAGAGCCCAAAGCCACAGGCTGCTTTCCCAGCAGCGAGGAGTCCTCAATGCCCATGTGCTCTGGCCTGGAAAAGCAGCCAAAGAAAGAGAGGATGGATCAGATCAAGAGAGCAGCAGGAAGAGCTGTGTTTGCATGCAAGATGCAAGCTGGAACTTTGACAAGGGCTTCCTCAAGCTTGGGTTTTCTCTGTGACAATGTTCCCTTTTTAAGGACTTCCAGGAAAGCTGCCAGGTTTAAGGTACGATCTGTTAAGGGAAATCTAACTGGGGATGAGCACAGATGCTGAACTGAAAAGATGGATCCACCAGCTCCTTCCAGAGACCTGCACAAAGCTCCCACCACAGCAATGTGCAGAGGGTTATGGCATCAGCACACCCCATGGCCCAGCCCTGGCTGTGCTGAGTGCCCAGGCCACCCTCACCCTGCTGGTCCCTGCTGTTCTAAGGAGCCATGGGAAGGAGGAGGAGGGTTTGATAGATCAACATGGCTTTTCCAGAGCACACAGGCACCTCCTCACAGCCCTGTCTGACTCCCCATCTTCCAAACTGACAGCTCCTGGTCACGTCCCAACCTCTCATTTCTCATGTAAGTCCTGAGCTTGGGTAATTTCAGATTCTTTGCAGGAAGCAGACAGGATGATTCTTCCATGCTCAAAAGACAGTGGTGGAGGCAGAAGTGTTGTCCCCACGTCTCTGCCCAGCAGAATTCCTGTTTCTGTCAAGTTGTTAGCCTTGTTATGATCATCTCCGGAGCAAAGGGACAGAAATACTTGTTAGAATGCAATCAGAAGGTGCAAGTGCCTCAGTGAAAGTGCAGAGATTTGGTGTGAAGTTCTGTGATCATTGAATGAGAGAGGAGGTTGACTGGAGTGGATGTCTCCAGAATACCTGTCTTGATGTCCAGGTCGGGTATCCGAAGAGCAAAACCTGCAGCACGACTCCGTGGCCCTTGGAGCTTTCTTCCCTTCCAAGGGATTTCATGTTTATGCTGCCTACGTCTCTTGAACGAGGTTTGGGTAGGGGATTTGTGAGGGAGGGCAAGTTGGGACAGAAGGCTAAACCCCCTACAATGATTAGGGTGGTGTTTGGTTTCTAAAAGGAAAAATAAAATAAATAAAAGTAGAAATCACACTCATTATGATGGCTCACACTGATTTCATCCTGCAGAAACTCACAGCACAAGGCAAGCTGCACCCTAGGGAGGCTCCTGGGAGGGAGCTATGGTTTTGCAGTGCCTCTCTGGGCTTCTTTCACCTCTCCCTGAGGATTAGCACAGATCACATCCAACCCTTAATACCACAGCCTCACACTGCCACCACAACCATGAGGTCAACAAGACCAGGGCTCAGGGGACACGCTGGTGCTGGGGAGGTGAGGGAAGGGGTTTGTGGCAGCTGCAGAGCAGGTGGCACATGGGGACAGGACACACCTGCACCATGGCCAGACTCATCCTCCCTCACCTCACAAACAGGTTCCGACGGCTGCGAAACGCGCGGAGGAATCAACGACACAAAGCAGAAGCTACACGAAGGGGCAGAGTGCTGGGAAAGCAGAGAGGCAAGTGCTGCATGGGCCCAACCTGCCAGAGCTCACAGGGGCAGGATCCTCCTGTCACCACACATCAGCCCTGAAGCATCACCTCAGCAAAAACACCTCCCCACGAACCACCACCCGGCCTGGCTGGCCGAGCTCTCCGTGGGTGGGAAAGCAGCACAAAGCAAACACCTTCTCCCCCAGGAGCTTCTTCCCAAGCAGATTGGGATTTAGCAAGTGCTTGGTGGAATGTCTTACCAGGACAAGTGAAATGACACACATGGGGAGGGTGGCATCGGCTCTCGGATGTGCTTTGGGGAGGAGAACTTTGTTTGTCAGAGCCTTGATATTTATTCCTGCT